CCATCCATCCATCCATCCATCCATCCATCCACTCACCCACCCACCCATTCTCCCTCCCTCCTTCCCATCCCTAGCGTGCACGCCCCGGCTCCCATCATGGCCTTGTGCAGAGGTGCACGAGAAGAGCAGGTTTCTGAATCAGGTAGTCTTCCGCGTCAGCTGTGATGATGGACAAACTGATGATCAGTGGCTTGCCCGGGGCACGTCGGTGGCTCTGCCATGTCCGTGACATGTAGAGGAGGGAGGGGAGAGAGTCTGGCAGGCCAGGGATTCGACCCCTGTCCCCTGAGCCGTTCCGGGGCGTGTGGAGGTGGGTGGGGAGAGGCACGTGTCATCTAGGTGCTGCGCTTGTGTCCTTGAACCACGGGGGAGCGCTTCTGGTTGCAGGGAGCCGCGTGCTCGCCTCCCGGGAGCCCTGACGTAACGGTTAGAAGGAGGTGACTGGGGGTCTTGGTTCGGGGTCAACACCTCTGAGTTTCCCGGCCGAGCCATCAAGGGCACAGGGTGGGTGGCTGCCCCAGTTCAATGCCTCGTGTCCCCACACGGCAGGTGGGAAGCAGGGGACCGGCCACCGCGGTTCCTCCTCAAGGAAAGATGTCTTTCGTGTGGTGCCTGCGGCAGCCTTCCCTTCAGAGCTCGTTGGCCGGGACCTTGTCTCACCAGCCGCCCACCTGCTTGCCACAGCGGGGAGCGGGGCCGCCCCGGTGGGCTCAGTCGGGTCCCGCCGGGTCCCCGGGCCTGGCTCTGTACTGCCCGCGCGCAGTCGGGGTTCCTTGGCCGGGGAGGAGGCGGGTGACCCGGTGTGGGTGTCTCCCCCTGCCTAGATGGCCGGCCTGCAGGTGGGGCGGAAGATCTACTCCATCAACGAGGACCTGGTGTTCCTGAGGCCCTTTGCCGAGGTCGAGCCCATCCTCAACCAGTCTTTCTGCTCCCGCCGCCCGCTGCGCCTCCTGGTGGCCACCAAGGCCAAAGAGTGAGTGTCCTCGCGGCGGGGTGTGCGGGGCCAGCCTCCCTCTGAGGTTGGGGCACTGACTGCCTGCCAGGGGTGGCGGTGGAGGGGGGTGAGCTGTCCTGGTTCCCCGAGGATGGGGCTCATTCCACAGGCGTGTCTTAGGATGTTGCTGCTTTAATCCGTCCAACAGATGTTCTCGAGCGCCTACTGTGTACCGAGTGGCGTTTCAGGCTCTGGGGCTCCAGCCATGTCTAGATGGACACGTTAATACCCTTCGTAGGTCTCAGTCTAGTTGGAGGGTGGAGCAGGAGTCAGACGACCAAACAAAAGAAAAGCGAGAGACCTCCTGAACCAGGTGGTAGTAAGTTTGGGCCAGTCTATACAGCTGGGAAAGGCGACGGCTGTGTGGAGGGTGGGGGTCAGAGAGATGCCACCGTGAGCTGAGGGCAGACCCAAGGAGGTAAGGGAGGGAGTCAAGACAACTTCTGGAGGAGGAGGGTTCCGGGCAGAGGAGATAGCCAGTGCCAAGGTCCTGGGGTGGAACCATGGCTTGTGTCTTTGAGGAACAGCGAAGAAGCTGATGGGGTGGAGCAGAGTGAGTGAGAGGGAGGGGTGGGTGATGAGGTCCGCCAGACTGTGGAAGCCAGGCCTTGTAGGACCTTGTGCCCATGGTAAGGACCAAGGAGCCACTGGAAGGCTCTGAGCAGAGGCAAGGCATGATGGGACATAGGTTCTGGAGGTGGAGACTAGATGGTCAGCGGTAAAGGCAGAAGCAGGGCAGAGGCAAGGAGGCTGATGGCCCAGCCCGGCCCAGTGTGGCCGTGGTAGGATGGAGAAGCATTTTCTATTTTAAAAATTGTGCTCTTGGTTTTCATTTCTCTCTTCTATTTAAGGCAAATGCTCCCAGTTTCCTATTGACGGGAGTGATGGAAAGTTTTAAATAAGATTATTTCAGTGACGAGGCAAGCCAATTTAGGGAAAATGATTGATAGTTTGGTATGTGAAAGTGGCAGAAATCACCCAGGGGAACGTGCCTGCTTAAAGTTCTGGAAATGCCTGGGGTTTGAGAACCGGCTCCCTAGATGGTTTTTTCTCCGGCAGGTGGCGTGGGGTGGGGGATGGGAGGAGGATCCTGAGGCCCATTGTTGGAGACATGCCCTTGATGGAGAAGCAGACAGCTGCCTCGAAGCCGCTGGATTAATGTCATCCCTTGTGCAGCCCTGGGCAGGTGCCACTCACTCTTCTCTGATGTTCCACCTGCGGAATGGCCAAGACCTGGCCTTTCAAACTGTTCCCTAGGGGACACGTGTGGGCATTTTTCTAGAGTCGGCACCAAGATCTTCTGGGTCCCTTCTCACCCTCCCATCTGTTGAACAAAATATTCGCTGCCTGTGGTGCTGGTCTGACCACCGAGAAGCCTCCTCTCACTGAGAGAGTGACAGAGAAGGTGTAGGAGGGTGCTCTGGAATTTCTGTGCGTGGATTGAATCTCTAAGGGCGGGCCAGGTGGTTCTGAGGAACTGGAGACCCTGGAGACACGGGCTGTGGTTCAATGAGGTTTTTCTTTATCTTCGGCTGCTGACAGCCTGGCATTGATACTACTTTGGGCTGGATTTCTCAAAAGTCTGGGAGGCAGAGGTCTCCCAGCGTGGTCCCCTGGGCTGTTGGGAGTAATACTGCATTTTCTTATGGCTGCTGCTGCCTGGTGCAGGATCATCAAAGTTCCCGACCATCCAGAGGCTCTGTGCTTCCAGATCCGTGGAGCCGCCCCGCCGTATGTCTACGCCGTGGGCAGAGGTGAGCCTCATAGACAGAGAAGGGGGCTTTGGGGGCCTGGTCTGTGTGTGTGAAAGGAGTTGAGGCCCCCAAACCATTACCACGAGGCCTGTGCCTCACCAGCACTTACTTTCTTTGTCTGGAGCAGCGGCATGGGGTTCAGGGGGGCACAGGTGGATAACTAACTGAGAGGAAGGCATAGGCAATGGCGGTGGGGTTGGGGGGGACTGTGGCAAGGTGAAGACATGCTCACTATATTTACTTTTGAGACAGACAGAGACAGCATGAGCGGAGGAAGGTCAGGGAGAGAGGGAGACACAGAATCCGAAACAGGGTCCTGAGCTGTCAGCACAGAGCCCGACGCGGGGCTCGAACTCACGGACCGTGAGATCATGACCTGAGCCGAAGTCGGATGCTTAACCGACTGAGCCACCCAGGTGCCCCGAGACATGCTCACTTTAAAAGGGGGCAGTTTTTCCTCAGCTCAGGCTCATTATTGCCATGGAGGAATGTGGGGCCATTCTTGCCAGACTTGAGTTTTTAAGGGAAGCCAGAAATGTGAAGTTTGGCCACGCTTCTGTGGCCAGATCCAGCCCGTGGGCCAACAGTTAGAGACCCCTGTGGCCAAATCCAGCCCAATTAGAGATGCCCGTAGCCAGATCCAACCCAGTTAGAGACCCCTGTGACCAGATCCAGCCCGTGGGCTGACAGTTAGAGACCCCTGCTTTCACATTGCCTTCTCCTTACATGCGGTTTAAGGGGTTGCTCTCTCTTGGAGATGAAACCAGATAGGTCTCAGGTTCTGGACTCCTAACCCTTTTTGCACCTAAGGACTCCACTTTTATTTTTTTTTTTAACGTTTTTATTTTACTTTTTGAGAGACAGAGAGAGACAGAGCATGAGTAGGGGAGGAGCAGCGAGGGAGACACAGAATCCAAAGCAGACTCCAGGCTCTGAGCTCTCAGCACAGAACCTGACGCAGGGCTCGAACCCACAAACTGAGATCATGACCTGAGCCGAAGTCGGATGCTCAACCAGCTGAGCCACCCGGGCGCCCCTCTCTAAGGACTCCACTTTTAAAGTTGAAACACTAATTGTCCACTTCTGTGGTCATAGTTGTACTTTTAATAGGTTTTGATTAAGAAAATACACATCATGGCAGAAAGCTACGAAGAATTTGTTAATATTTTTAAAAAAATTTCTTTACATTTATTTTCGAGAGAGAGGCAGCACAAGTTGGGGAGGGGCAGAGAGAGATGGAGACACAGAATCCGAAGCAGGTTCCAGGCTCCGAGCTGTCAGCACAGAGCCCGATGCGGGGCTTGAACTCACGAACTGTGAGATCGTGACCCAAGCCAAAGTTGGACGCTCAACTGAGTGAGCCACCCAAGTGCCCCCCAGAATTTAATATTTTAAAGTGGGTTTTTATTTTCTCGTTAAAGCAGTGGTTCTCGACTGGGTCACTTCCATTCTCTAGAAGACACCTGCCAGTGTCTGCAGACATCTTTACTTGTGACCCTAGGGATGGGGATGCTCCTGGCATCTCATGGGTAGAGGCCAGGGATGCTGCTGACCTTCCTGCAGCTCATGGACGGCCCCACAACAACAGAGAGTTTTCCAGTCCCAAATGTCAGCAGTGCTGAGGTGACAAGCCGTGCCTTCCAGCATCTGCAGGGAAGCCTAGGTGTTTATAGGTGAACCAAGCAAAAATAGTAAAGCAGCTAATATTTCTTGAGCACTTACTAAGAGCAAGGCACGGGGCTGAATGCTTTACATGTTTTATCCCCTGGATCTCTCCGGAACCCTGCGAATAGATGTTGTTAGTGTCCTCCTTTTACAGACGAGGAAACCAAGGCACAGAGAGGTTGAGGAACGTGCCCAAGGTCACACCGTTGGTCAGTGGCAGAGCCAGGCTTTGAACTCAAGCCCCTGGATCCAGGCCTGTGCTCGTCACTATGACACCAAACAGGCCTAATATTCTCTCGTGCACAGATGAAGCTTGGCGTTCATTTGCAATTCCAGACTCTTCTTATTAACCACACAAAACCCTGGGGGCCGAGAGCTGTAGTTTGGGAGTCATGGTATAGCCGAGAAAACATGCCCGTGAAGTCTGGTAAACCTGGGTTCGAATCCTGGCTTCTCCTAGCCAAGGGACCTTGAGAAAGTGACTCTGCCTCTCTGAGCCTTTTGTTTCCTGTCTGCGCAATGGGGCTGATCCTGTCATAGTATCACAGGTCATAGAGGGATTTAGAAGGAGATGAAGCTCTGAGGGAAGCGTACCTGGGTTCCAATCCAGCCTTCCTTGCTGTGTGAGCTTGGGCAGCTGCTACTTCTCTGAGCCTCAGTTTCTTCTGCGAAACGGGAGTGCCGGTTCCTGTCCTGCCTCCTGGACTGGGTTGGACAGTGGCTCTAGGGTGCAGGGATGGGGCTGGAATGTCTGGGGATGTGTTTGGGGGGCTGGGGGTGGGCGGGGTGGGGGACGGCGTTCCTCGGGTCACTTGCCCTTGCCTGCCGCCGCCCCGGGCTCTCTCCGCCTAGGGTGCGCCACAAGCACTCCTGTCCCCTTAGGCTCCGAGGCTGCGGCCGCAGGGCTCTGTGCCGGCCAGTGCATCCTGAAGGTCAACGGCAACAACGTGCTGAACGACAGTGCGCTGGAGGTCCTGGAGCATTTCCAGGCGTTCCGGAGCCGTGGGGAAGAGGCTCTGGTGAGGCATCCAGCAGCCAAGGGGATCAGGGAAGCCCTGCTCAGCCGGGTCGGGGGCTGAGGGCCTCCTGCCTTCTGTGGGGAGAGGCCTGAAGGCACCACAGCGTTTTGGGTGGGGGAGGGGGCTGCCTACCTTGCAGGGCTGACCTGGGTGTGGGCTCTGTGCCCGCTCTGTCTCCCTGAACCCGGGGGGCTGGGCCCTGACAACTCAGGGTCTCGGTTTCCACCCATGGGTGTGATCAGACCCTCTCTTCTCACTGCATAGGCATGTTGGGCCAAGAGTTGATGGGAAAAGTTGATGCTATAGCTGGGTTGGGGGCCGGGGTCCCGGGGAGGGTGTTCATTCACTGGTTCATCCAGTCAGTGCTATGTGCCTGGCATGTTTGTAGGCCCTGGGGCTGCAGGAGAGACAAGGTTTCTGCTCCCGTGGGTCTGACCTACATTTTCAAAGGCTCCCTCCTCCCCTGGCTTCTGTAGGGAGCATAGACTCTAGAGGGTGAGGGTCGAGCATGAGTGAAGCTCCCCTCAGGAAGGTTGCAGAGCAAAGTCTTAGAGGACTTTCCACAGGTGATGTCACCGGCAGTCTAGAAGCCTGGGCTTCGGAGTCGGGGAATGGTTTGCCCCTTCACCCCGTCCCTTCCTCCTTGGGCTCCTGGTGTCGTGGCCCCCCTCTTAGTCTGCTCTCCCGGCAGGGTCTGTACCAGTGGGTCTATCACACCCACGAGGATGCCCAGGAGGCCCGAGACAGCCAGGAGGCCCCCGGCGAGGACCCCCAGCCCGACTCAGGTAACGGGACAGGCGGGCAGTGTGGTAGAGACCCCGGAGGGGACCGACCGGTCCTCTTCTGGTGCCGTTGGCTCTGTATCACATTCTGATCGCAGCTTTCACAAAGTACCACAAACCTGTGGCTTAGAACATGCGTTTGTCATTTCAGTTACTGGAGGCCAGAGGTCCAAAGTGAGTCTCGCTGGGCCATCTGTCAGGTGTCAGCAGAGCTGTGTTCCTTTCTGGGGCTCTGGGCGGGGGAATTCATTTACTCGCCTCTTTCAGTTTCTAGAAGCTGCCTGCAAGCCTTGGCACGTGGTCCTTTCCTCTATCTTCAGAGCCGGCGATGTTGGTCTGAGTCCCCCTCGCTCTGCCCTCTCTGTAATTCTGACTTTTCTGCCTCCATATTCACTTAGGGGCCTTGTGGTCACAGCGGGATCATCTGGATTTTGCCTTATGGTAAAGTCAGTTGTTTAGCAAACTTAATTCCATCTGCAGCCGTGGCCCCCCCTTGCCATGTAACAGCATACCTCCGGGCTCCGGGGGTTAGGACACGGGCATCTTTCAGGGGCCAGTATTCTGTCTGCCCCAGGTTCCCATCTTTACCTCTCTAGCCCAGCCTCAGCCCTGGACTCCAGACCTGTCTTTCTGCCAGCTGTCCCTGGGATGCCCATCAGGCACTGTGCCCTTAGCATGGGCCACCTTGAATCCCCACCCTTCCCTGAAGCCTGGTTCTCCCCTAAGCATCCTACCCCATCCTTCCAGATTCTAAGGCCCCAAACTTTGGAGTACGCCCTGACTCTTTTCTTTCTCCTCCCTCCCTCCGCCTTGATTTGTTGCCCTACCTTCTTCATGCATCGAGAATCTGACTGCTTCCGACTGCCTCCATCACTGCCTGGCATAAGCCACCATGTTTGCTCACCAGGACTCCCGCAGTAGCCTGCTTGCCGTTCTCCCTGTCCTCCCTTACTTCTCCTCCTGCGGGCTCTTCTCAAAAAACAGAACAGAACCTTCCAGTGGCTCCTTCCAGGCAAAGATCAAGTTCTTCCTCCAGCTCCAGCCTGGCCTTCCAGCTGGGCCTCTCGGCACTTTGCCTCTTGCCCTCTCTACTCCATTCACGGCAGCTTCTTGCTCTTAAATACCAAATGTACTCCTGCCCCAGGGCCTTTGCACTCGCAGTTCCCCCTGGCTATAGAATGCTCTCCTCCAGAGTACTTCTTACCTCATGCTCTTCACCTCTCTCAACTGGGCTCACATGTCACGTCCTCAGGGAGTGTCTGGTGTTTTCGCTACTAGAGAGCAGAAGATCCACGAGGGCAGGGGTTTTGTTTATTTTCTGCCTTGCCGTATCCTCCGAGCCTAGAACTGTGCCTGGCACAGAGTAGGCACTCTACGAATATTTAGTTTGAATAATAACGCATTCTCTCCAGTTGCTTCTTTGGACTCTGCCCTGTACTTCTGCTGGGCTGGGGGCAGAGTAGGGGGTTTGGATGCCCCTGTGTCTGACGGCTGTGGGCTCTCTGCTGGTACGTTCAGGGACAGCAAAGAACCAGGGTTTATGGGGTCGTTCGGGGAGCCATCCCCCTACTGCTGAAGCACACACAGCCTGGCGGAGGGATCCTAGAGGGGACAGGCTGACGGGGAGGGAGGAGAGGCCAGCTGGCAGCTCCCAGCCCGGTGTACGCCCTCTGAGAGGAAAGGGCTGTGGGCTTTCTTCCCCAGCGTGTGGGCGGATCCCTGATAATGATGGAAAAGCGTGCTGAGGGGAGCTGACCATTTCTCCTCTTCTTTTCAACAAGTAGAAGCACCTGCTACATACCATACCCGGTTCTAGGAGCTGGGGACACACGAGTGAGCAAGGTGGGCCGGGTTTCTGTCCTCGTGGTGCTGACACGAGGGGAAACAGACGGGGGACAGAAAAACTGACAGGCAGTGCCATAATATGAGTGTGAGGGGGTAAGACGCATGTGTTGAGAGGTACTCTTTGGAGCGGGTAGAAAGGAAAGCAGTCCTGTCCATTTGTGCCTGCTTCCTTGTCTAGATGTGTCACTACCTAACTGTGTGGCCTCTGAAGAATCACTTAGACTCTCTGGGCCCACGTCAATCAGGACTGAAAGTGGTCTACCTAAAAACATTGGCTCAGAAACTGAGAAGGGAGTAGGGTCAAGGAAGCTTCAGGTCCGGCTCGATCCAGTTTTACGTACAGTCTCATGAAGAGTCTCTCTGTGTTTGTCCCGTTCTCAGCTGCGCTCCCTCTGTGTCGGTTTCTCTTTTACGTGCTGTTTTCTGCGTGCGATGGTTCTGGCAGCTTGGAATCCAGTTGAAAAAGAGGATGTTCCCTTCTCTTTGTAGATGCGACCAAAGTCCCAGACTTGACTTTCATTGCCCTAGCTTGGGTCACATGCTCATTCCTGAACCAACCCTTATGAATAGGGGACGTTGAATCGCTGATCGCCCAGGCGTGTGCGTGTGAGGAAGGGTGTGGTGAGGGCTTCCCTCTCCTGAGCCACGCGGACTGGGAATGGGGCACAAAGGTGGGTTCCTAGGACAAGGGGTGAACGGTAGCAGGCTGGCGAGAATGAGCAGAGCAGCAGCACAGGCTTCATGGTCCCGTGTGTCCGACGATGACAAACGTTTGTGGTACGGGGTCGGGGGAGGGCTGGCTGGGGGGTGGTTCCCCCTTCTCAGGTTTGCCGGTCCCTTTGGCTTCCAGCCTTCCCCCTGCTGTCCCTGGGTCCCCAGCTGAGCCTGCATGAGGACAGCCCTGTGGTCAGCCTGACGGTGGACAACGGACAACTGGAGCATGGCGTGGTGTATGAGTACGTGAGCACTGCAGGCATCAAGTGCCACGTGCTGGAGAAGATCGTGGAGCCCCGCGGCTGCTTCGGGCTCACCGCCAAGGTCTCGCTGGGCGCTGCCCCGCCCCGGGGGGCGGGGCGGAGCGCCCGATTCCCCTTTCCTCCAAGTTAGCCTGGGGCCCCCGCATTGTCGTCTCTGCTCCCCTGCCTGGTAGCTGTGGGACTTAGGAGAGTGGTTCTTCCCTCTTTAGTTAGCTTACTCATCTGCAAAATGGGCGAGTAATAGACTCCGTCTCCCAGGGCTATGACAAGGCAACTGCTTAAGAGCCTCCGTGGTGCACGCTGAGTGCTCAGTGGTTCGTGTTTGTGCAGATCCTCAAGGCCTTTGCTGCAGATGACAGTGTCTTTGTGCAGAACTGTGGGCGGCTCATGGCCCTGAGCAACATTAAGACCATGTCCCACTACGAGTTCCGCAACATCTGTGACACCAAGCTGGAGAGCATCGGCCAGAGGATCGCCTGCTACCAGGAGGTACCTGCGCCCCGCAGGGTCTCAGCCTGGGCTGTAAATGTCAAAATGCAACCCAGCTCAGACTAAGCGAACAGGAGCATCTATTGGTTTCTGTTACTCACTGAAAAGTCCGGAGGTGAATTTCAGGCAAGGTTGTTTCCAGGCGCTCAGACAGATACCGCACTGTCACAAGAGTGTGGCCTCTCTCCTCGTGCCTTGACTTTCCCGTGTTGGCTTCACCCTCGGGGCAGGCCCTTCTCGCGTGGTGGCAAAATGGTCCCCAGGAGCTCTCACCTCAGCCACCCCAGTAAAAAGGAATTCGATGGGAACTCTTACTGGCTTGGCTTGGGTCCCTTGTGTACCCCTGTACCAACCACTTCAGGGACGGGAAGCCTTATCTGCCCCTCACAGACTGTGGACTGGGGGGAGGTGGCTCCTCAAGGGTAGCTCAGGGCAGCTAAAATGAAGGAATGAATGTGGGTAGGTATGCGAAGGCCTCAGATTTCTCCACACCTTCCTTGACATCTGGATGCAGTGACAGGCAGTGTAAGGGAATCCGCTTTTCCACTTGAAGTTGTTGGCGTTTTGTCCAGTTTCTGAATGTCTGGGCCGGGCTAGGATCGAGTGGGTGCTGGGGGTGGGCCGGAATTCCCAGGCCCCTGAATCATGACCCTGTGCCCCCCCACCTTTCTCAGTTTGCAGCCCAGCTGAAGAACAGGGTCAGCCCACCCTTCAAGCAGGCTCCCCTGGAACCCCATCCACTGTGTGGCCTGGACTTCTGCCCCACCAATTGCCACGTCAACCTCATGGAAGTGTCCTACCCCAAGACCACTCCCTCAGTTGGCAGGTCCTTCAGTATCCGTTTTGGTCGTAAACCCTCCCTCATCGGCCTTGACCCAGAGCAAGGTAACTGCACGTCTCTGTTAGGGGTTGTGTTCAGATCTATAGACACGTAAACAGAAACCCGTCTGGAGGCCAGCAGTCTGGGACTGCGATGGTGGCTCCACAGTCATCAGGGACCCAAGTTCCTTCTACCCCACCATCTGTACATGTGGTTTCCATCCTGAAGGATGCCTTATGTTATAAAGTAGCTGCTGGAGTACCAGCCATCACATCTGTAATTCCAGTCAGGAAAAGTATCCTGGTACTTAAAAGCATATTAGCACCAAACTGAAACTTTCTTCTCCAAGCGATCTGATGGATTAAAGGAATATTTAGCAGGAAATTTTTCTCCCTCATTGGGATTCTTGAAATAGGTTTGTGTATCTCTGTCAGAGGGGTTTACGGGTGCCTGGAGGCTCTTTCCAAGTGAGCCCTCCCTCCCTCCACTGTAGGCCACCTGAACCCCATGTCCTACACCCAGCACTGTATCACCACCATGGCTGCCCCATCCTGGAAGTGCCTGCCTGCTGTGGATGGGGACCCCCAACACCAGGGTCTCAACGACAGCGGCTTCGGGCCAGCCGACGGAACCCCGGGCCAGGAGGACCGGGGCCTGAGCTTCTTACTGAAGCAGGAGGACCGGGAGACCCAGGATGCGTACCTACAGCTCTTTACCAAACTGGACGTAGCCCTGAAGGAAATGAAGCAGTATGTCACCCAGATCAACAGGTGAGCCCGGCCCCGAGGGAAGAGGGCAGGGAGCCCGGAGTCAGGGTTCGCCGGCTCAGCAGCATCGACGTTGTGGGCGAGAGAACCGTCGCGGGGGGCGGTGGGGGACATTACAGGCTATTCGGCAATGCCCCTGGTCTCTGTTCACGAAGATGCCCACAGCACGCCTGTTTCACGGCTGTGACAACCAAACATGTTCTCAGACGTTGCCAAATGCCCCTTGGGGGGCAAACCTCCCTCCCCACCCTGTGTGGCCTGGACTTCTGCCCCACCAGTTGCCGCGTTGGTCCCCCCCACCCCGCCCCTGCCCCGCCATTGAGAGCCGCTGCTCTAATAAAATAATGGATGTGGGCAGCAGTCGTTAGTAGAGGCTGGCACTGTTTGGAGAAAGGCTTTGGGGGAACTTTATACTTTTGACATGGCCAAAAGAGAGACAGCTGGACGCGCCTCTTCTGGCGTTAATGCCCCAGGACACCCCATGGAAATGCACTGTCGTCCCATCGACATCTCGATCTCACTACTCAGTGACAGGACGTGGGGGATAGAGGATGGTGGGGTGGTCTTCTGGAGATGCGGGTGGCCAAATCCATAGGGTGGGTGATTCTAGACAAGTGACCCAGTGTCTTTTACACATAAATGGTGGTGGGGGCGGGGAGCGGGTACAGGGAGGAAGAGGAGGAGAGACTTGAGACACACGTCAGCCAGACAGCGTCTGGACCCGGTCGGGATTCTGTTTTTAGCACACCACCTGCGAAGAGACGCTATCGGGGACATTTGAATGTGGATGGTACTAGATGGTGTTAAGGAATTACAAATTCTGTTAAGTTCGGTGATAGTCTGGTTGTGTTTAGAAAAGGGTTTCTCAGCCTTGACACCGTTCACGTCTCGGGCCAGATTATTCTTTTCGTGGGGCTGTTCCGTGTGCTGTAAAATATTTACGGGCATCCCTGGTCGGTACACATTGGAGGCCAATAGTGCCCCCACCCTTGTCCCCCACTTCGCTTGTGACAAATAGAAATGTTTCTGGACATTGCTAAATGTTTGCCCTTCAGGAAGTATGCCAAATTGTTACATGTTTCTGAGGGGTGGGGGGTAGTTGAGAACGTTGCTTTAAAAGAAAGTCCTTCTGTGTTAGAGACGCATATGGAAGTATTTATGGGGGAAATTATGTGACACCTTAGATTTACTTTAAATACTCCAGCGCAAGCAAAAGCCGTGGGAAAGACTGAGGAAACAAAGGTGGCCCCTGAGTTGCCATTGTCATAGCTAGCCGTTGGGTACCTGGGTTTATCGTACTGTTCCTCCGGCTTTTGTGTATGTTGGAAATCGTCCATGATAAAGGAAAAAGAACGTAGGGTCTGGAGATAGGAGGCACGGGTTTGAATCCTGGCCCTGTCACTTAATAGCCTTGTGACTTAGTCACTTAACCTCTCTGAACCTCGGTTTCCTCACCTGTAACATGGGGCTATTCATAATACTGGCCTTAATTGACTTGGAGTAGGATTATATCAGCCAGGGTTTAATGATCGCTTGCAAGGTACCAGATGCTTTTCTAAGCATGTTACATATTTTTAGTCCCTTAATCTTTACAGCAGCCTAGCACATAGACACTGACATTACTCCATTTTACAGATGAGGAAATTGAGTCTCAGACAGGTGAAATAATTGCCTTAGGTCTCTGAGCTAGGAAATGGTCCTGGAGCCTGATTTAAAACCGTATGCTCTTAACCATTATATTCTGTGCCAGAGACTGACAGACTATGGCCTGTGGGCCAAATCTAGCCCAGCCCACTCCTTGTTATTTATTTATTTATTTGTTTGTTTCTTTATTCATTTAAATGTTGATTTAGGTTTGAGAGAGAGAGGGAATCTTGGGGCAGGCTCCAGGCTCCGAGCTGTCAGCACAGAGCCCAGTGTGGTGCTCGGGCTCACGAGCCACGAGATCACGACCTGAGCCAATGTTAGACGCTTCCCCGACTGAGCCACCAGGCGCCCCAGTGCTCGTTTTTTTGAATAAAGTTTTATTGGAACGCAGCCGTACCCATTTGTTTGCGTCTCATCTGTGGCACTTTCCCGCCAAAGCAGCAGAGTTGAGTCGAAGAGGTTGGCTCTCTGGGCCTTTCATGCTCAGTTTCCCAGGCCTGTTCTGAGCCTTCTCTGGCTTCCCCGTGAAAAATAAAGACCGCCCCCCGCCCCCGGCCCCCCGCCCGCCGTATCTCACGCCCCCTGCAGGCAGGGCAGTGGATGTGTATCTGCAGAGTTACTGGCGGGATTTTCAGGGAAGGGGTGGGAAGCAGTTGATGGCTCTCTGTGCTTAGGGTCAAAGGTGAGGCCAGAGGTCAGGGCCTTACCTGGGGCCTCCGTGGGCCTGCGCCCTTAAGCTTACATCCTTTGCCCCAACAGGTTGCTGTCCACCATCACAGAGCCCCCCTCCAGGGGCTCTTGTGATCCCCCTGTAGCTGAGGAGGCCTCATCCCCCCCGCTGGTCAGCGAGGAGAGCGAGATGGACAGGGCCGACCACGGGGGCATCAAGAAGGTTTGCTTCAAGGTGTCTGAGGAAGATCAGGAGGACTCAGGCCATGACACCATGAGCTACCGCGACTCCTACAGGTGGGGACAGCCGTGGGCATCGTGGGGGGACCGCGTGGGGTGGGATGTGCACTGATCCGTGGGAAGTCGGAATCGGTGGGACATTCGCCAGGAAGCGGTGGGAGAGGGCACAGTTCTCACCCGTTTGGTTCTGGGCGGGGGGGGTCATCTGAGCCCCTCCAAGCACATCCCTGAATCCCTGACACCCCTTTTGGCTCTCCTCCCCGAGGCCAGCGTTTCAGGGCCTGGGCCCCTGGGGTCTCCGTCCACCTGTTCTGCCTCCGTTCTGCTCTGTGCTTGTTGACAGAATGTGGGCAAAGAAAACGTCAAAGTCTGCGGTGTGTTTTAAAACTCACCGTGAGACATATGGTTTCTGCAATAAACACCATTTATTTTTACTTGATCCAAGGAGGAAGATACTAGTTGTTTTTTTTTTTTTTTCCCCCTCCTAACTCTGAGAGAATCCGAATGGTTTTTCTACTGGTGAAGTTAATAGCGAAGGACTTAGCGAAGTCCTAATTAGAGGGTTAAGTAAGACTACAAACTTACTTTCCTATCATAAGCCGTACAGCGGGTAAATGGAATTTCTTACCTCGTGTGAACAAGCACTGTGGTCTCCAGTGAAAGGTTGTGTAACGATTGGCCGTTGAGAGGAAAGTGGAATCTTAGAGGTGCTTCAGAAGACACAGAACTGGTGGGATTTCCCCAGAAAACCCTTGGCCTCCGTCCTCGTTCATATTCTTTCCGTCTCCAGGGATCCACTGGTTGGTGTTTCTGGCTAACTGGGCACTGTGTGTCCCTGGAGCCTCATGTCCATCGTCCAGGATTTTCATTCTTACGTTTTTGGGTCCTCTGATTTTTTCCTTTAGTTGTCAAACAGGTGAAGGAAAGAATTCAGGACTGTGGTTTTTCATTTCCCGGTATCTTCTGAGCTCCTGGGATTCTCTCCGCCCTCGCGAGGTTATAGCCAGGCTGGGGAGGGGACGTGGAGCTGCGTGGCCAGGTGTGGCACCTGCAGGCGTGTCCAGGGACAAGGCTGTCCCACGGGAGGAGTGACAGACGTTGCATACAGCTGGACACGATTCCCCGCCCTCCTACTGTTGCTGTGTTTTTGTGCTGGGGCCTAGACATGTTTCCCCACCGTCACACATGGAAAACCCACCAGAACGGTCTTCCCCGGCTCTGGCACCGGTGGTCGAGGGGCCCAGGGTTTTGTTTACACTCTGGCAAGTGGGTTCGGGGAGCTGGGACCAGAAGGTGTGATCTGGAGGGTGACTCCGCCCTTCCTCTCTGCTCCTCTGCAGTGAATGTAACAGCAACCGGGACTCTGTCCTGTCCTACACCAGCGTGAGAAGTAACAGCTCCTACCTGGGCAGTGACGAGATGGGGTCTGGTGAGTGCAGTGCTCCAGGGGAGCCATCTCTCCGCCGGGATTTTGTTTTATTAGGTTTCGTATTATTTTGCATAGCGTGGTAGTGTATTTCCTTCCATTCCCTTAGCCTGCGTCTGTTTATTGAGCACCTATTGGGTTCTGGGACAGCCACAGTGGATGGGAAGACAAAGACCCTAGCGCCCCTGGAGCAGACGTTCTCCATGAATGTCACGGACACAGAACGCATGAAGCATTCATGATGCAGTGACAGATTATGATGGCCGCTCTGAGGTCACTCAAGTAGGGTGACCTGATGGTCTCCATAGAAGTGACACATGCTCAAACCAACCTTTCAAATGACCCACAAAAGTTCATCAAAAAAGTGCATGGAAGTAAGTTAGAGGCACCCCCCCCCCCC